CCCGGTTTTTGCACCCGGCAGTGACTCACGTTCTCGCACACATGTGCCGTGCAAGCCACACACTAACTTCGGCGACCAAGTCGGCGGATTCTGAAATTAAATTACGAATTACGAGCGCGGGTGTGTACGAGGCGTTCACCGCGATGCGGTTCGGCGGCGGCGACGACGACGACGACTTTCGAAGGGCGGTTTGCGAGACTTTACGACTCGCAGTTATTTCCTCGGTGGCGAGCTCGCGGAGAGAAACGCCGGCAACAGGGGAAAGAGGCTTCGAAATGACTCGCTTACGAGACGACCTTTAAACTCACCCTAATTTTTTTCTTTTTCTACGGGCGGTCTTTATATCCGGTCTTTCCGCGACACACAATGTAAGGCCACTTCAATAGGAAACTTATGGAAACTGTATATATGAATACTCAATGTTTTATTAATTTATATCTTGTCTTATTTTAAAGTCATTTTAATTCAATTTGAAAGAAAATATAAGAGTTAGAATATAATAATTGATTTTGATTTGAATTGCTTCGAAAACGTAGTTAATTCTGGAATATGACGAAGAAATGAAAATTGATAAGGCAGAATGATGATTATTAACATAAACTTTAATTATATCGACATAAAAGTCAATTAGAATATTGATTTACATCTCCAGTACGGTGTATGTTCCAATATCTAATGAAAAATTTTCTTAAGGAAGAGATTCTACGTTAATAAATATTCTTTCCGTTTTACTACATAATTTCGATATTTTTGACCGAAGAATATTTCTCGTTTACTTGCTATAATCTTGTAGAGACTGACAATGCGTTCGGCAATGTAGCCCTCAACGGCAGGCAACTTTAATGTCCGACACCGTCAGTCGTTAGATTGATGTAGCAGCATCAGTCGAGTATTAACCTGAAATGAGCGTATAATGGCGGTGTCGGGTATTTGATGCCTGTGCTCAGGATGCAACGTATGGCGTCCGCTTGTATGTATTCTAGAATATTGGGCTTACATTATATACGCTGTTCATATAGTTAAAATTAAGCGATATATCGATATGCCGAGGTATCCGAATACGTATCGTATATGTTGCATATGAATACACACAAAGATAATATCAATTCGTGCGAATTATATCTAATGTGAATCAGTGCATTTAAAACATTGTAATTCTTTGAATTTACAATAACGATTAAATCTTTTACATTTTGATCTGAAATAATATCATATACTGTATTTTATATAGCATTAATTGCTAATTATTAATTACTAATTATTATTAATTATTATTGTAGTTATTATTAATTATTGTTTAAAGGCGAATGGAGGAATTGTGAACAGATAAGAGAAAAGTTAAATAAACGGACAATTATTTAAACAATTAATAAAAGCCATTATTCAAAAGCTTATTGTTTTAGCTTTAAAGTACAATAATTAACATTTAGAGGTATATATTAATATAAACTATAATTAAACAAAAAACAAAATCTTTGTCGTTTGGAATTATTCACCGTTACGCGTGGCAATGTTTTGTTTTTATTTAAAGTTATTATCGAAAACATGTGATAGTATTTATTAATATAACACTAATTGTAAACATATACGGTCTATCACTTGAAATGAAAGGTTATCACTACTCTAATATAGTATTATTCACATTTCCCCCGTATTTGCAATTCCACACTCTCCTCTTCATTTTATAATTAGTTATAGAGGAAAAAATTGTTGTCTAATTGAGTGGAATAATAAATCCAGTAGATTCTAATTGTAAATTCTTAAATTTCCAAATGTTTGTCACGCATGCGTGCATAGTGAAAAAGGAATATAAGTTTCTCAAGAATATTGACGACTAAATTTCACTGTACTTATTCAGAATAGTTTTTTGGTACATTCTCGTTTCGAGAAAGGGCGCAGACAATTGACATTGTGATAAAGATTTGAAGTGCAAACCGATTTCTCTTTTTCTCCTTCGCGATTCTTCTGTCGGCTCCTCGCAAGAGTGTAAATATCGTACATATAGGATTTAGAGCGCGTGTTTGTGCACGTCTGTGTGTTAGAAATCGAAGGAAAAGTCTCCATTCTTAAAATTCCCGGTGCCCAGATCCCCGGTGCGGCTCGCGGCGATATTGGAAAAGCTATCGACGCCTTCTCATCTACTCGTATAGCGTACGAACCGGACGAAATATTCGGACGCAATTTCTTTATGATAATTCAATTTATCCTTCGGCCGCACGTCAGCGGCCGCACGAAGTGCATTGGCTCTATCGTAACGGGCTGTACCGATACATACATGACCCAACATTCCTGACGGTCTTCTAAACCTTTTATTCTGCAAATGGTCAGACCTTATTCGCCCATACTGCTGGGAATAACCGACCCGATAAAGAATCCTATCCGCCTTCCGTGAATTCATTTCGTGAATACTTCCAGAGCGCGTTGCCTCGAAAACTCATGAAAATTGATTGATCCGTATTATAGTTGCGGCAAAATTTCGTACACGAGACATATCTATATTTCCTTATTGAACTTTAAAATGCTCATTCTCAGAAGCAATGTTTTTGCGCAACAGTTATAGCATTGTTTGCTAATATTTAAGTTAACATATTCAAAATTTGTATTATTAATTTAGTAATTATTTCATCTTACATTTGCACATTAATTTATCTTTGTATCTCGTGCTTTCGCTTCTGCAATGCTAAATGAATAATACTTTTTGAATAAATGCTCCTGAAAAACATGTTGTTTCTTTTATATAATTAATCGTTATTTCTGTCTCTCATTTCCTAAAATATTTCCTTGAAATAAAATATTTTTCTTCTAAAATTTTTCTTCAAGTTTGAAGATTCTTTTTGGAAACGATATTCTCTACATCATAAATATATGTCTTCCGGCAAAATAAAAACAATTTCCTAACAGTAGTGCTTGCTTCATCGACTGTTACTTCCAAACGGTTGACCCATTCGTCGTGCTTCATACAACCCTATATATATTTCGTTCATAATCCATCTCGTATCAATTTATCTTAAGCGTATCGAATCATATCCGTGAGTGTCTTTCCCTTCTCTTATTTTCCCGTTTTTCTCAGCGCTTCCCCATCTCATCCCAACGTCCTAGCGCGAGCAACATTATCCGATTATTTCCGACCGCCATTTTCCACGGTCCCACAATGCATCCTTCGATTGCGACGAGTCTCGATTGTATTTTCGTAAGTGATATTTGCTGAGAAAACTTTGGCCACTTCACTCTAATTGTTTCTCCCTCCCCGTCATCTCGCGAAAAGCAGAATCCGTCACGGTGAATAAATATCTCCAAATAGACATACTAGACGAATCTGCTCCATTTCCAAAGAAGCGTGATATTTTCTTCCACGTTAACATACATTTTTAAACTCTCATTTTCTACTGGTGACCCCGAGTTCTCGAAAGAAATAATAGAACCTAAGAGCATCGTAGAACCGTAAACTGTTCATGAAGCATTTAAATCTATTACTAAACGTCAAGTTTATTTTATCGCGAATTTTGTCTCTTATATTTGCACATTAATTATCAAAATTTTTTTTGATCTGTCCCAAAACAAAATCCGGCAAGGACTATTAACTTACTAACGTTTCTAAAATTTGACAAGACAAATGTTACAATTCTATGATTTTCAAGAGATATATTCTAGGTACTTTACTGGCACACATTGCCAGAATCTTTTGTTAATAGAGTGTATTTACAGTACGCGCAATATAATAACGAATAATTTGAAAAGGGCAGTCATATCAATCGTGCGATCTATTTGCGTATTTTCCACCACGAGCGCTACAAATCGGCAATAAAGAGGATAACGCAAAAGGATTATTATCAGACGTATAAATCGGTAATGTAATTAAAGCTGGGTGTTAGGAGGAAATTACAAATGTGTTATGGCTTACATATATGTCGAATAAAACGCTGCCGATACGTACCGTTATTAGAGAACCGGCACCGTTCTCTATCGCAAGTTGCTAATTAGTTCGCCAGATGGACAAACCGTTTGTGGTAAAATTGGCTCAGTTATGTAATAAGTCCTCGTATATTGCACGCTGCTAACGGACTTTGGCGGTTCTACGTAACCACTCCTCTTCCCCGCCATTCATATCTCGATTTCCAATCGTTGAAAAAGGAAGCGATATTCCAGCTTAATCGATAATTGCGTGCAATTTGTATTTTCACTGATACCGTCACACTTTCACACATTTTTAATTTCAGTTTTCAAAAATACTGTAAAATTATATTGTTTTTAAAACAATATTAGATTCGATCGTCTTCGAATGTATGTAAAAAAAAAGCATCTTGTTACGATTTCGTTTTCACGTTTTGTTCACCATCGCCAAGAAAGGATTGTCTCAGTTATACGTTTTCAGAATGTGCTCGGCAGTATTACGGACGAGGGGAGTTTCCCAGCTTACGTACGAGGGATTGCTGGTTATACGTTGGACGTTAAACCGGCTTGGAAATAGTTTCCGGAACTAATTTACTCGCGAGGGTCAGCGTCGTCGTCGTCGTCGTCGTCGTCGCCGCCGCCGAATATCCTCTTTATTTCACGTTTCGGCTATCGAAATCGCTGCGGTCGCGAAGAGCGAACTTTGAACACGGATATAACACACCCGATCTATTCCCTGACTGTGAACCAATATTATCTTTGATCCAACGTCATCAACCATAGTAACGCCTAGATATAGTTCGAATACCGAGAATTCCTATGGTATGCTGGACCGCACGAGATGTATGATTACTTGCGATCGAATCAGCGTACTACATGCCGTGTTTATCCTAGTTTTGTGATCGTCGATGAAGCGTTCCTCTCTTTATGTATAAATATATATTCTGATAATTTCCTTTACAAATAAAATTGTTTCAAAATCTTCTCATTTTCTCTATCGTATCTTGTGCATTTAAAATCATCCTTATAATTGTTATATTTTAAGTATATTTTAAGTAAATTTAATCTTCAAATTTAATAAGCATTTTACATTCAATTATCGCTTCCAGGTGACGACTTATCCTTGTGTAACCGCGACTCCGACAAGGAGTGACCATCGAGGTACATGAAAGAAGGACATGAACTACTCGCAAGGTAAGCCAATTTCGTTCAATAATATTACGCTCTAAAATATAACGTAAAAATACATCTCCGGACTCCTCACCGTGATGGACAATTTTACTTCACGAGGAAGAGAGAGCCACGTCACCGATATCTACGTGTATCTATCGAATTCACCGAAGGTTTGTCCTCGTCCGATTTCCAGTCCGGCCAAGTGAGCGGGCGGCGGTCTGAAACAGTTCGGAAATTCACTCAACTAATCAAATACCGCTAAAACCGCTAAACAAGTTAGGTTAGCAATCTACGTGCTCCGAATGGCAACTCCAAACTGCTGCGGCTGCGAAGCGCGAAAACGCTCGCGACTGCTTCCGCAATCCGCACGCCATCTTCGCCCTCTCATCCACCTACATTCCTTAACGAGAGGAAACGACTCGATGCAGACGTGTACGGATCGCCTAATCGACGGTCCAAGTTTCGCGATTGCAGGTTTTGACTTTGCCATGTCCATTGTGTCATCGCCTGGTCGGTGCAAAAGCGATCGATAGACATGATAAATTCTCCAATTTACAATTAGAATGAATTGCCACGGTATTTTTAACGCGTTAAAAATACAAAAATATCATTATATAAATAGTATATGTTTATAGAAAGCATTCCTTTTAAAATAGTGAAAGCAAAGATTGAAAAATAAGATAAAGCGTTTTTAATTAATGATTTTTTTTAAATTATGTCTCGCGCGTTATTATAATTTTGAATAATGTAATTTTTTTCATGTATTAGTTTTTAAAGTTAAATCAATAATGATAAGTTTTCTAATAATTAATATATGAACGTAATGCTAATTCTATTTATAGAATTTATTAAAATCGCTGCGAGACTTTTTGATTACGAATGCATTCCATACATACGTCGGATCAGATAGTCAATCAGTAGATCTCCAGGGTGCAATGACACGTGCTGTCATGCTGTCAAGATGTTTTTCCCCCCTGTCGTGACCTAATTGTCCTCATATTTTTGACATCGGACGTTATCTCATCTACCTGCCTAATAGAAAAGCCGAATATAGAATATATACCATAATATCTAAACACCTTTGTGCTCATTCACATGCAAATGTATGCTGAGTCGGCCATTAGGCTTTCCATGGATGAACAGATCCACGCTGATGTACAACGAACATTGATCCCTCGTTGTATCCTTTGTCGTTACGACGTCTTTTCAGCATTTTCGTCTCGTTTACTATTTTACGGAGGGATACCTTTTCGAATGAAAAAGAGCGTACAAATTAGTCGGATCGTTAGTGAAATCCATATTAACGAGACACCCGATTCTCCCTCAGTGGAAACGCACTCCGGATCCTATGTTAATTCCAATCCCCAGTTCTTCAACAACGCACAAAGAGGAGAATCGCAGCGACAGCGTTCTGTATTTCTTTTGTTGCGGTAATACTCTCCACTAAACAAGTCCTGAATATTTTAAATATATTTCACAGAACGCACATAAATATCCGAAAGAATATTTCTTTCTCGTCGTGCACGACGAGAAGAGAAAAATATACGCGACTGTTGCGAATGAGAAATGAGAATAAATCATTCGCATGTTTCAACTCCTTGACGATGTTAGGCACAAAGGAACTGATTAGCTTTCGTAATTGAAACATACAAAGGCATAATAAATTAAGATAAGATGATTGAATAACGTGGAATAAAAATGCAATGTTTGTGTTAACTCTTTGTATTAAAAAAAATTTTTTTTTCACATTTCAAAGGGTGACGCACGGATAATGTGCCTTGGATCGGATTGCTTTAGATATTGCTGCAACCCCTTGTGTGGGAATGACAATGCGATCGCAACTTCCTTTCAAGGGACGAAAAGGAAATGTAGAAAAGCCGTCGCGCACGGCCGTCGAATACAGGGCAGATAATGAATTTAGCCCGTTTTAAAGAGGTTATTGATGGAATCCATTCCCGGTTCTAAACGCATGGTCGATCGAGCGAGAGACCCAGGACCGTTAGACCACCCCCGTGCTTTCTCTTACCCCTAACGTAATTGCGAATCTCCCCCCCCTCTCTCTCTCTCTCTCTCTCTGTGTCCCTCCGTTCTGATCAAAGACGATTAAATATTTCCGCTCTGCAACATTTTCTCTACCTCGTTCACGCCAAACCGATATTTATTTAGGTATTTGCCCGAACCGTTCGCCGAACGAATATCTGCCGTAAACCAACGTTAGTGTCAAGAGTTATCGCGTAACATAGTCTCGACGAACAGCGCGTTTGCGCAGCTACCATTTCATCCAATTTGCAACGCTACAACGTAGAGTGCATCGAATGGGTTGTGTCGTAACGCGCGTCGCGTTTATCGATGTAAATTCACGGAGGAATTGTTCCCAAGCACGAGCCAAAGCGAGATTATCTACTTGTTCATTGCGATAAATAACTCGAATAGAAACTATCCATTCGACGCAGCAGGACAAAATGGAATAAATATCTTTAATTAACGATATCTGCGCAAAATCGCCTGCGATGAAAGACGCGGTTTCAGCATAGTATGGATTGTGCTGAAAAGACTTTATGCGGTATGAACTACTTCATCCGCTATAGCTATCTGAAAAATTGACGCTAATCCACGTCCGTCTCATGAATTAACTCTCTATATACGGCGTCTCGTGGGAGAAGGCGCGAATTGAACTGCGAGAAAGAAATGCCGCCAAGAGCCCTCTTCATCCGCCAACCATCCGGCTTATATATTGTAAATACCACGTAATCTGATGACCTCCCGGCGACGGTCCCTTCATTACCAGCGCGGGTGCCATTGTTCCATAGGTATAATTGAATTCCCAAGGCAGCCGCTGCCGCCAGCTAACCCTCATCCTCTCGACATCAGCGATCCGAGAGAACCGCCGATTCCACGTTGGAACTCTACGAGACCCTGATTTACCCCATTCAGTCGGGAATAATGCGATATCTCGTCCCCCCGAAAGCCACATCGAATCTCGACTCGAGAGAGCGGGGGTCATTTCGACAGAGGAGGAGGTTAGTCTAAGCTCGTACACGATTCCGAATGTCCATCCGTTCATCGCCCAAAGTCTTCCGCTCGTCTCCGCGAATGTCGCTTCCACTTTGAGTGCATGAGCCAACAATGGATTCTATCGATGCACTCGAGAATGGTCAATAATTCGAAACTGAACGCCAAGCTCCACTACGTAATGTATTCTGCGTAATTTCGAACATGGATTATCAGAGTTGCTCTCTGAACCATATAAATTTAATACGAAACCAGCTCGCAATATACGTAAAGTTCGAGCACTATCCTTGTAGCCTGCATAAATAATATAATTTGACATTTGCACGAATGTGTACGAAATAGCTCAAATTCACGATATTTCATTAACTCATAAACTTTAAAATCAATTTTGAATACTTTTACTTCAAAAATTTTAGAATATCGATTTCTCCAAACTGTAATTAATTGAGAAGAATTTCTAAGAATTAGATGGAAATAAATTATTCGTTATTTAATTTTACATCTTCGATATGTGGTATATGAACTTTTTATCTGGAAAATGCATTAGTATTCTTAGTATTCTTAGTTCGTTATATTACATTATAAATTTTCACGGATGACAGCTAGTAATCATTAAGTCTTTAATGGTCTTTTAAGTATCAGAGCGATCATTTCACCAGTGAATTGCCCGATTTACTTACAGTAAATTAGAATATTTCTACCGCCATCTCCTTTCTAAGTCTGGCGGTAATAATTTTACTCGAGCACCTTCCGTGTCAGAATTCTCACCATAATCCGCAATACATACGTTAAATATGCGTGCATTACAACGCGCCATAAATATTGACTTTAATATATTAAAATTATGTATGTGACTTTTAATATATCAAAATTATCGCATCAAGCTCAAAGCACAATTTTCCATTGTGCATAAATCTGCACAAATCTCACGTACATAAAAGTAATAAATTGGAAAAAGAGATATTCTTTGTAATATTTTATCGCTTAATCAAGATATATTAAATTAAAAATTTTCTGTCATTGTGCAAAAAATAATTTTTATGCGCAGAAAGGCAAAAATTTTTACAGTCTACTCACGACAAAAATAATCGACTTATATTCGTTTCTGCTAATATAAGTTAACTTTAATCTCGGGTCATGCTCTTCATCCTTTTCTAATTCTTAGAACTAACAAAAGATTAAAAGTAAGTTAAACCGAGATTAACGTAAATTTATATAAATGGAAACAGACATTAACCTAATAAAAATTCAAGTGCCGTCCTCAAAGTTACGACAAATTCGATATAATCAGCCTCTATAATACACTAGGAGATAATCACATACATCAATTAAACGATAGACTTCATTGTCATTTATCAGAGACCGCTGACTGTCAGTTCGAGATGATAATAAAGCATGTAACATGTCTAACTAGGGAAACATGCTGCAGACATTCGCTAATCGTAAGTGTCAGAAGGTCGTCGCAGCATTCAGAGACCAGGATCATCTATGGTGTCCTGGATGTTACGGACTGTCGCGTCCATCCTTCCAGGAACCCGCAGGTGATCATGAATAACAATGCCGATAACGCGTCGACATCGTCGTATGCGTTGTAATTAATGCTCGTCAGACGCCTGGGGCGGAAAACTCCGCTGTATTTCCGTGTTCCGGTATGATCTTGACGTTGAGGTGCCTTTACACCCATTTTACGACACTGACAAGCGTGTCCGTGTTCCTCGTACAAACAATTTCCTACGCGACTAATTCCATGATGCATTCGTCTTGTTTTCTATCTCGTTGAAGAAATGTAACGAAGCAACTCAATTTTAACAAAAATTAAAATACCATATCACGCGCATATGAAGAACGTAACTCAGATGTTACATCTGTATAATTCATACATTGAGAGAAAACTTTTTGGTATTTGTAACTATAATTATATATCACTATAATTACGATTACTATGGTAATAGTAATAATAACAATTATATAATAGTTATATCAATCAATATATATAGTTGGCAACCGAA